GCAGGACATGTATGAGGACAGCAGGACATGTATGAGGACAGCAGGACCTGTATGAGGACAGCAGGACAGTGGTGAGATGTGCTGTAGGAGTGACAGATGGCTTCAAGGTGGAGGTGGGAGTGCATCAAGGATCAGCTCTGAGCCCCTTCTTGTTTGTTCTGATGATGGACCGACTAACAGATGAGGTCAGGCAGGAATCTCCGTGGACTATGATGTTTGCAGATGACATTGTGATCTGTGGAGAGAACAGGGAACAGGTGGAAGAGAACTTGGAGAGGTGGAGGTATGCACTTAAAAGAAGAGGAATGAAAGTCAGTCGTAGTAAGACAGAGTCCATGTGTGACTGAGAGGGAGGAGGTGGAACAGTGAGGCTACAAGGAGCAGAGGTCACAAAGGTGCAGGACTTCAAGGACTTGGGGTCAACTGTCCAGGAACATGGGGAGTGTGGTAAAGAGGTGAAGAAGAGAGTCCAGGCAGGATGGAGTGATGGAGAAAAGTTTCAGGAGTGATTTGAGACAAAAGGGTGTCAGCAAAGGTCAAAGTTTACAAGACAGTGGTGAGACCAGCTATGTCGTATGGTCTGGAGACAGAGACATGGACAAAAAGACAGGAGACAGAACTGGAAGCAGCAGAAATGAAGATGTTGAGGTTCTCCTTAGGAGAGACAAAGATGGAGAAGATCAGGAATGAGATCATCAGAGGTACAGCACAGGTTGAACAACTGGGAGATAAAGTTAGAGAGGACACACTGAGATGGTTTGGACATGTCCAGAGGAGGGACAGTGGTGTGGACACGTCCAGAGGAGGGACAGTGGTTTGGACACGTCCAGAGGAGGGACAGTGGTTTGGACATGTCCAGAGGAGGGACAGTGGGTATACTGGTAGAAGGATGTTAGAAATGCAGCTGCCAGGAAAAGGACAAAGAGGAGACATCTGGATGCAGTTAGAGAGGACATGGAGGTGGTTGGAGTGAGGACAGAGGATGCAGTGAGGAGTGAGGTGGAGGAGGAGGACTCACTGTGGCGACCCCTGAAGAGGGAAAAGCCGAAAGAAGAAGGAGAAGGAGAAGAGTTAACCGGTTTGACATTAGCGGCGTCTCCATAATTTCTTTTTCCGCCTCTTTTAACACAGAACTTCTGGTTACATTTCAAAATAAGAGCGACATAACTGTAGCGGGGAGGGCTAAATGTTTGTTAGCCAGTACATTAAAAACAAAATCCATTTTGGTTGTTGAATAATGTGAAAATAGTTACGATCGATTCATAAAGAAAAATAAAGTAACCAAAATATTAATGATACTGGCCTTGGGACAAAGGATGTTTCCTTTAACTTCACATTTTCTTGTTCAACTCTTAAATCAGTCACTGCAGATGAGTGATTGTCAGTTTCTGTCAGATTTCTGCACCTGGAGCAGGTATTCTGTTTACTGGTTCACTTCCTCAGCTGTCTCACATTTTAAGGGTCAGTCCTTCTCCATGTTTCAGCTCCTCTCATACATCACATCTCACAGAAGAACTTCTAAAGAGAACATTGTTTTGAGCTTTTGTTTTGGGCCGTTATCTCGTTACAGGACTCAAGATCTTTAATTGAGACCAGACTTTTTGACAAATGGAGCAGGTTCCTCTTCATATTGTACCCAGACCACAGTGTCAGGTGCAGCTACACCAAGAACAAGAGAATCTTCTTGTGTCTGACAGTAGATATAACACTGGTTCTTAGAAGCCTTCAGTTTAAAAAAGAGCTGATGTAACTTAACTAAAGAGCAGCAAATACAGCTGCCAATCATCAGTGTTTGTCCTCTACAAACGCCTTTTCTCCAGAAACGCCCACTTTTGGTCAGGCGGAAGGGCGGGGTCAGAGGGAGGAGTGGGAGGAGTCTGCTCCTCTTCATCGCCTCAGTGTGGCGCTAAATCTTTTTTTCTGTCAGGAAGGTGTGAATGTTTGCAGGTAAAACTGACGACTTCTCTTTCTCTCATGTCTTTAGATTTTCTGCTACTTTCAGCTTTTATTTATTATTTTGCTACTTTTGCCTTTGTCAGTTTGCTAAACTTTAGCTACTTTTTTCATTCAACCTTTATTTAAACAGGTTAACCACGAGGACTCATTTACAAGAGACCTGAATTTTAACAGAGCGATGGCAACAACAGACAATCACAAATGATGTATACAAATTTATTTATTTGTATACAATTTGTTTATTTGTATACAATTGAAAACAAAAGGATAATTAAAATAATTAAAAGGAAACATAGCAAAAAAAAAAAAAAAAAAAAACCCAGCTAGGTTACTTTAGCTACTTTTAGTGATCATTTTGGTAATTCCAGAATCTATCTAGTCATTTGTTACATTTACCTTTTAGCTACTCTTGCCATATTTAGCTTTTTTTGGGTGCAACTTTTAGCTACTCTTTTGCTAGTTTTAGCTTCTAGTATTGTTAAGTCCAATGCAAAAATCAGTGCAGACATGATTTTAGGTTTTTTTTTTTAGTTTAGCTACCATTCAGCTACTTTCATCTTGTATCGAGACCCTTTGCATTTTTAGAAAATATTTTGCAATCCTTTAGTGGCTTGTTTTTTAGCTGCAGTTTTAATACTTTTAGCTTTTAGTTAACAGTTTGATAGCCTAGTTCAGCTTTTAGTTACCTTCATGCTACTTTTAGCATCTGGCCACAGTTTGCTGCTTTAAAATTTAGCTATCCTTTTGCTAGATTTCACCTTTATAAAACATTTTTGCCACATTTAGCTTTTAGTTATCATTTTTATCAAATTCTAGAGAAAATAGTTGCAGGTCAATTACGTGATCATCTGCAAATAAATAATCTGAAGAGTTTCAGTCAGGGTTTAGAGCTCATCATAGCACTGAACCTGCACTGGTGAAAGTCACTAAAGATATTCTCATGACCTCAGACAATGGACTGGTGTCCACACTGGTCCTGTTAGACCTCAGTGCTGCATTTGATACACTTGATCACAATATTTTACTACAGAGGCTTGAATATGATGTTGGAATTACAGGAACAGCTCTAAATTGGTTTAAATCATATTTATCTGTTGCAATTTGTAAATGTAAATAATTAATTTTCATCATATAGTTAATCATGGAGTTCCTCAAGGTTCAGTGCTTGGACCAATACTCTTTACCTTGTACATGCTTCCATTAGGTAAAGTTCTTAAACAGCATGGGATAAATTTTCATTGTTATGCTGATGACACACAGTTATATTTTTTATTATATCTATCGACCATGAGATCCTCATTGCTAGGTTGGAGCAGTGGGTGGGCATCACAGGGTCAGCCCTCAACTGGTTCAGATCTTACCTCGCTGACAGATCCTTTTGTCTCTCCATCAAGGATTTTAGTTCTGCAGTGGCAGAGCTTAAATGGGGGGTTCCGCAGGGGTCCATCCTGGGTCCCCTCCTATTCTCTTTATACCTGCTGCCATTTGGTGCTATTTTCCGGAAACACAACATACCCTTTCACTTCTACGCCGATGACTGTCAAATTTACTTCCCCCTAAGACATAGTGGTACACTATTCTATATTACACTATATTCAGCCTCTGCTCTACCGCCTGGCTGACATCAGGGACTGGATGGCTTTAAACTTCTTGTTTCAATGAAAAGAAGTCTGAAGTCATGTTGTTCCCTCCCAACGACACGATCACAAACCACTGCATCGACCTCTCCGCTCTAACCCTGTCAGAAAAACAAAGAGTCACTAATCTGGGAGTGATAATGGACCCTTCCATGAAGCTTAACAATCATGTAAACATGATTGTTAAGTCATGCTTCTTCCAACTGAGGCGGCTGTCTAAACTGAAGCCCATATTGTCCAAAAAGAACCTGGAGACAGTAATACATGCATTCATTACATCTAGGCTTGATTACTGCAATTCACTCCTGTTTGGTATCAGTCAGACCTCCATTGCACGACTACAACTGGTCCAGAATGCAGCAGCCCCATTTTTAACCAGTACAGGCTAAAGAGAGCACATTACACCAGTTTTGGCCTCACTGCACTGGTTA